ATTAAAAACTGCACCATCCGAGCTCTTAAAACTCTTGTTATGCTTATCTAGGCTTATGCTTGCGCCCTCTTCTATTGCTGCATTGACTGAAAAGATATCCTGCTGATACGATGGGACATAAAGCGCATTATTTAAAATTAGATCATGAGAACTTCCGTTTACGTCATATAGCTTAACCTTCGCAACGCCCTTACCTGTCACAACCTTAGCCTTACTGCCATCTGCGAGCTCTATAATGTGCGCATTTGGGTCAAAATCTTCATCAAAACTTATAAACTTAGATTTATCATTTACAATATGGCTAGTAGCGCCAGTATCTACTAAAAGATTGTTACTATAACTCTTACCACAGGCACTACTGTCACTGACTTTAAATGTAAACGTATGCTCACTGTTCTCAGTCTTCGTTCTTCCTTGATCTTCGGCTTTCTTCGCAGAATCGTTTCTCCCCATATTTGATCGGCATTCCTTCGTATCATGCGTTTTGTTTCTACAACGACTGCACCACTTTCCGTTTCCGTTCTTTCCCGACTTCGACCAACATTCAGACTTTTTGTGTCCCTTCTTCCCGCACTTGAAACAAACTCCGTCAAATCTCTCGCCGTTCTTCATGGCCATAATATTTTCTCCCGTCTCGCTGTTACCGTTTCTACTTTTCTCGCTCTCTTCGTAGCTACGCAGTGCGACTTTAAACTCTGCAAATGTCATTTGCGTGTCTCGTTGGACAACTATCGCCGAGAATGTCTTAAAGTTACTTGGTAATCCTTTTAGCACCATCGCGATCAATAACGCGTCGCTTACAGCTTCATCTGCGTTTCTCAATGCTGTCGCAGCCGTTTCAGCCCGTATGACATAATCAACGATGCTCTCACTGTCCGTTTTCTTGAGCGTCGTCAGTTCTGTGTATAGTGAGATAACTCGAGGCTTGCTCTTTCCTTGGTAGTGCTGTCGCAATATCTCCAATGCTCTCTGCCCGTCGTCTTTTGCTTCGCGTATAACTAGCGCCAAACTTCTGTCGTCTAGGCATTGTACCAACTCCGCGAAAGCATCTCCGTTCCTCGACGCATCGGGTTCTTTATCACCTGGCACAAATACATCGTGTAATTTTTGTAGCCTCATCTGCGCCAGAAACTTTACTTCCCATAGTTCATATTTACTTTCATCGCCGTTAAATAGTAGTCCCCTTCTGGGCCCATAACCTGTTGGGTTTGTGGCGGTTGCCATTCTTTATTATATTCAATTTGAGCACATAAGTTTCTTATAGCTTTATTTTACACGACAGACAGAATACAACTCACGCTTTTACAATGAATATACACTATTTACATAAGTTACGCTTTACGGTGATTGGTCAGATATTTACCAAATATAGTCATGAGTCTCTTGCTCTTTATCTATATGTAACTTAATATATCAATTACTAATAACATTACAACTAACAATTGTTTCTACTTTAATAACATAAATTACGTAATACATAAGAGCACAACTTAACACAATCACGCCTCACGGCTGTAGAACAAATCACAGATCATGACAGTAAAATCAAGCATTTCACACGATCAAATATTGACCATTCACACAGTGGCGTAGACAAGGGAGGGGGGCTCAGCCCCCTCTCCCAATAGGCTCAAGGACTGCCCTTGTAAAAAGATGAAATCCGGGTAGAAATTAGGGGGGGGGACGATGACTACCCATGTGACTACCCATCTGATCTGTTCACCAAATTGTCTATAAAAGTTCTAATCTTTCCTAAATCTAACTACAGAAAATAATGCCTATGGTGGTTATTGGTTAAAATGCGTTTTTAAACTTCGATTTAACTATTCACACGTGACCAAGTAAGCTTCGTTGAGTCAAATTAAGGATCCACATTATTGAGAAATCATTAAAAATCAGGTCTTTCCTGCAGTAAATAATCTTCAGAATTATGCAAAATCTCTCCCCAGAAACACGGGAAATCGCCATTGAGGGACTCCAGATTTCAAAATTTTCCCGGGGGAGAAGGCCCCCGGACCCCCTAAAAAGGCTTACGCCTTCGGCGTTCGATATATGCCCTCCCAAAAATTATAGTCTGGCTACGCCACTGCATTCACGGGTCACAAAAATACCCTTTCCCACCCGGCTCATTAATATCGCTCTCTGATTCTGAATAAAAATCGCAGTTTATAATACGTATTGGGAACACTGATACGATTGGGAACCGTGAGAATTTGTATATAGATGCCATTACGCCAATGCAAAATGGGTTACACACTTTAATACACTTGATCCAATTTTGATTGGGACTATGGTCTACATTTCGTAGACCATAGCCCTGTATAAAATGGGCCAAGTATAAAATTGGCCAAGTATAAAATGGGCTGTGATAGTTATATCATAGAATAGGAAGGTATACCAGAAGTCTCACTCAAGCAAGTATTTGTCCGCGTTTTTACAAGCGATTAGTCCGATCATCAATCACGCCATCCTGGCTAGTACAACCGGCACTTTGTACCTATCAAAACCTGATAAAAACTTCCGGCTGTACTAGCCAGGATGGCGTGAGCGAGTTAAAATTTTCGTGGGTTACACTTCTGCTATACTTTCCTATTTTGTGGTTATATGCTGTTTATTCAAATACATTCTTCAGCCGGAATATAACCATACGTGGTTATTATTGTATTAACGCTATAGTAAAAATTTAAAAAAATATCGTGCACGCGGCAAGATTCGATAACAAAAAATCGTGCGGAGTCGGTGAGGTGCAAAAAAAAATCGAGCACTCTCAAAAATGCCCCCCCCCCCCATGAAAAATCAAATGGTCTGTCCCTTATCATGATTAAATACGGTTAGTATTCGATGTGTACCTCAGTTTTTAACAGTAATCATTCAAGATAAATAATTTAAAACAGAAATGATCGTGTTCTGATTAGGTTTTGTTTTATCAAATTTATAACTGATGAATAAGTCGAATGCAGTGTTACCTGTATTTTTCTGGATCGATCACCAAGTATAAACATGTTTCTATCAACTCCGCTGGATGCAACAAACGCAAGTTTTGGATTGGTTGATTTCCTTGCCTCGGCATACGTCACTAACTCACTGTTCTCGTAACTGTCAGATGATGCAGGTTCTTTGCCATCTTTTAATTTCAAAACAACCACGTAGAAATAACTACAAACAAAAGTTTACCTTTTTACTTCAAATATAACAACCGTTAATAATTGATCCAAATATAGCTTCCTAGTATCATAGACTAATATCTCATTGGAAGCTGGTTTTCTATTTGGTCATGGTGATAGCGACATGTGATGGCCAATATATTTACCTTATCCTATTTTAATTTTTAGTAGGCACTTTTACCATTGGTCATTGATCTGCAAAAATGTCATTGTTTTATTCAAGTAACGTACGCATGTTTACATCCTCTCCGTCATCATACTTCCCAAAGATTTTCTGAATTACCCGCTTTGGCCCACAAACGTGTATTCCAATGGTGTTAAGCTTAAGCTTATCTGCTCCAATTTTTGAACTCAAACACTGAGTTCACTCATTCATTCGTTTGTGTGATCCGCAATAAAATGAGGCTGTTGAATTAAGCAACATGAAAAGGCTCGTTGCAGGAAGCGTGGAAGAAGTTGTGCATGTCCCCGAGCACGAGCCACGAGGTTAATTTAAATTAAGGGTGTGTGCATAGCACCATACATGGATGTGGTTCTTAGCAAGTTCACCTATCCGAGCTTGCATGTACACCCCTGTACTGTCCTGACATAATCGCGGCGACTATCTCCTACGCAGTTTTTTCTCTTTGCGTTGCTTGTACTTGCCCAGTTGCCCAGATTTCAAAGTTAAATTATAGGCAGAGGATTGCGCGGGCAGCGGGTCCTATAATATACTAACATGCAGTGTCGCCCCATCGATTTTTCTAGTATATGACTATATTTTTGATTGCTTTAAATTGCAAATTTGCACACTGACCTGAGAATATCTTCGAGATTACGCTCGCTTATCCCGTCTTGCATGCGTTTTGGCGCTCCCTTAATATCTTTTTGTGTATATATATAAAAGAAAAATACTAGGGAAAAAAGATCGCAGGGACCCTCAGTCGGGCGAGAAAAGTGGTTAAAGTGTGCTTCCCGCTTTTCATGCTTATGATTTGGAACTTCTATCTATTTTATTTAAATAACATTTAGGCCAATTTGAAGGGGCCCAAAACGACCTTACAAGCAAGGGGCCCACCGACGGAGCTTTTTCCCCGTGATCCCGATCTGCCAATCCGCCCCTGAGACTCAATGTATTACAAGTATATTACAACGGCGACCACGGAAACTAGATTTTAATGGTACCATCAGAGAGTCGATAAACTTTCAGAAACGTTTTTGATGGAATTTGCAACGGAAATGTGAGCGTACTTGATGTCACTTCTGTGGCCTTCTTTGCTGCTCCTGCCAGAACGAGAGGCCATGTGTAAGGTTTTTGAACGGCATAAAAGTAAGCAATTTGTCGCTTTTTTCCAGTCAGAAGCTGTCGTTTGTCGCTCTTTTTTAGATAGTCTGTCGCCTCTTTTTAAGGAATGTCGCCTGTCGGTCATAACCCCTTGGTGGGCCTCTGAATAGGCGTTTTCTTCACCACAGAACAAATATTATCCAAATATACATGTTATGCTTACTTCCATTCGTAAAAAAATCCTTTACTTCTGCAGTGAGCACTACTTCCAGCTTTATTACTGGCATGAACACGAACCTAATATTTTCTTGATGCGTTTAAATTTCTGACGAGCCACTCGTTGTAAATATCTCCAAGCAAGAACCATTTACTTAAGGGATCGCAGACACTTGAACAGTTTACAATTAATCACTTAATGTATCGCAGAGAAACAGTTACAATTAATACTTAAGGTATCACAGACAACAGTTACAATTAATAATAATATTAATAAACGTTTCGGAGCATCAACAACAGCGAAAAGATTAAAAAGACATGAAGACTAACCTTCTGAAGTTCGATCATACTTGGGAATGATCAACTATTATCAAAAGTATTTACCAAATTTATCAACGATTCTGACACCACTGCACAGCCTGTTGGAAAAAGGGAAAAGTTGGAAATGGAGTGAAGAGCACCAAGAGGCATTTAGAAAATCCAAAGAGTTATTGAAGTCCTCACATCTATTGGTGCATTATGACCCGGAGAAGGAGTTAATACTGGCTTGCGATGCCTCACCATATGGCTTGGGGGCTGTTTTGTCACACCGAATGGAAGACAACACAGAACAACCAATTGCATTTGCCTCGAGATCACTGTCCGCAGCTGAAAAAAACTATTCTCAACTAGACAAAGAGGCGCTAGCCATCGTATTGGGTGTCAAGAAATTTCACCAGTACGTGTATGGTCGACATTTCACCATACTGACAGATCACAAGCCGCTTGAGCGGGTACTTCATCCGGATAAAATGACACCACCAATGGCTGCAGCTCGAATTCAGCGGTGGGCCTTAATTTTGTCTGCGTATGACTACGCCATTCAGTACAAAGAAGGAATTCAGGATGCAAATGCTAATGCCCTCAGTAGATTACCATTGCCAGACACCCCAGGTTCAACACCAGTTCCTGAAGAAACAATCTTACTCATGGAACTATTGGAGACTACTCCAATAAGAGCAGAGCAAGTGAAGAACTGGACAAAGAGAACTCCTATACTTGCTAGAGTTTTGAAATTTATTAAACAAAGTTGGCCTAGCAAGTGTCCAGATAGGGAGTTTCAACCATATTTTCAACGACGAGACGAGCTGAGTGTTCAAGACGACTGTATACTTTGGGGAAACAGAGTGGTTGTTCCACCCCAAGGAAGAAGGCAAGTGGTTGACGAATTACATGAAACCCACCCAGGAATATGTAAGATGAAAAGTCTAGCAAGAAGCTACGTGTGGTGGCCGAACATAGATAACGATTTGGAAAACAAAGTACGAACGTGCAACAACTGCCAGATAAATAGAAAGAATCCTCCTGAAGCGCCACTGCACCCGTGGGAATGGCCAAGCCGACCATGGGAAAGAATTCATATTGACTATGCTGGTCCATTCTTGGGGAAGATGTTCCTCATCATGGTCGATGCGTACTCAAAATGGCTCGAAGTGCATCCAACGAATGTGGCAACATCGAGAGCAACAATTGAAAAACTTCGATCAACATAGCAATCAACGGCCTTCCTAAAACAATTGTTAGTGATAACGGTAGTAATTTTTGCAGTGAAGAATTCGAAGAATTTCTGGCGAAAAACGGCATTCATCACAGAAGGACTGCTCCTTATCATCCAGCCTCCAATGGACTTGCAGAACGGGCGGTCCAGACGTTTAAGGAAGGGATGAAGAAGATGTCAAATAAGGAAAGTTTGGAAACCAGAGTGTCTCGGTTTCTCTTCAAATACCGTATCACGCCACACTCAACCACAGGGATAGCGCCAGCGGAAATGCTTATGAGCAGAAAACCAAGATCTCGCTTGGACGTACTACATCCAGATGTAAGACAAAGAGTACAGGACCAACAGAAGAAGCAGAAAGAGTTACACGATCAACATGCAGTTGATCGACAATTACGACCAGGCGATTTAGTATATTCGAGAGAATATGGAAAACAACAAAAGTGGTGTCCAGGAGTGACCAATACACAAACCGGGCCAGTTTCCTATACCATACAGTTGGAAGACGACCGCGAGGTTCATCGCCATCAAGATCAGGTGATCCATAGAGAAACACCGATATCCGCAAAGAGATAGACACCGGACTATTATTCGTGAGTAATTACATTAATTTTAGAGTACAAAACACTAAGGGATTTAGACGAAGGAGTTAGACCTTCGAATTTTGGTCGAATTATGGCTTACTTGACTTTAGATTTTAAAGTTAGTGATTTTTGTGAGCCTGAAATTGTGCAAGAAGCCGTAAGAGTCTGTGTATGGGAATTAAAACAAGTGGATAGCGCTAGCTTTGAAATAAAACAATCTTGGATACAACGCTTAATTGCATGGTTGCGCGACTAGTAACCTGGCGAAATTTGAATATCACTAATCCGGGTTGAATAGCAAAAGTCATTAACTGTTGTACATGGCTGAACACATTGTACTTTACGACATTGCCCAGGCCTGTTTATGCTAACCTTGCAAGAAAACTGGCCTTAACGACAGGACATAAGTACCAGTGTACAAAATTAAGGATTTTGGAAACGAAATTCTTGATGGGATTTTTTACGTTTAAAAAAAAGAAAAATAGTAAAATGAGTGCGGTCATTAAACTTTAAATACTTAGAGCACCATCAGTGTGTTTTCGTTTGCGTCGGACTGTCATGGACCCAAACCTAAAACCTCGCGACGCGATGATGTCATGCTTGGGGTGGTGATAAATTTCAAATTTTCGCGCGCTTTTTCAGTCGAGATGGAGCAAGCAAAGTGGGAAGAGGTTGTTTCTTCGTGGATGAGTGATAAAACGTTTAAATTGAGTACAGAGTGTGAGAATGGGGTTGGTTTACCTATTGAAAAGGCGGAATGGCAAATTACAGATTTGGAAAACATTTTGATTGAAAAGGGTTTGATACCGAAATTTATTCGTGGGAACGATGCCCTGTATGATATATTGTTACGTCAAATGCAATCACAAATGATTCTGAGTATTGTTGTTCCTAAACGAGTGCAGGGCCCTGCCTTTGCTTATTTGTCGAACTGTAAGCAGATGCTTGTGGGTGAGATATTTGCGGATATATGACAAAAAGGAAGGAAAAATTCGAGAAGAAAACCGGTGTTAGCTTGGACAACTATTACAGATTGGCTGTGATCGAAGTCGAGAATGAGAAGAAAAGAAAAAAAATGTCTGAGGAGTTACATGAGGCGAGAAAACGTGCAAAAAAAGGTTATATTTAATTTTAAACAATTTTTACATTTTTTATTTATTTATTTAAAATACGTCCTTGATGTTGTGTAGTTCTGGAAATTGTTTTATCTTCTTTACTGGTGGTTTTCCACTTCCACATGTTGTCAAGTGTTCAGCTATTGCATCTTCGATCTTTGCGTGTTGACTTGAGAATGTTGTCTCGTCGTTGAGGTGAACGTATTCGTAGATTTTGGGTTCTGTGGGGGAATTTCTGTATTTTTGACTAGCAACTGTTCGAGTGTTTTGTCTCGATCTGGGTCGGCGAGATATTCGGCTACGGCATCTTCTAAGTTCGGTTGATGCTCGTGAACTTTTCAGACTTGTTCAGATGAATGTATTCAAAGTCTGCGGGTTTCGTGTAGTACACGCGACCGGTCGACATAAATTCCTGCGTACCCAATTCCTCGATTCGTTTGAATTTTTCTTCGAACTCGACTTTTCGCGCATCTTCCGTTTTACGCCATATGTCAAGACGACAATGCTCACAGTATCGAATTGTGTGCATCCGTATGTTCGCAGTGTAGACATCCGTTGTTGAGACATTCTTTTTTTGTTAGCGACAGTACGATATTTTTTCGATTGGAGTCATTCTTTCTTCGTCGTCGCTCATGTTTTGTATTTTTTCTAGGTTCGGGTTGTTTGGCGATAAAGAGCCATGGTGCCCTACACTTATAAATGATGGGTATGTGGAAGCTGTCAAAGGTGAAATTGAAGATGAGCAAATCAATCGTTATGATGAAATTATAATCATATCTAATTACCCTACAAAGAACGATGAGCACGTGGTATCCAACGGAAGTAAATAAATCAAAAACAAAACTTGTAGTCATTTACCAAATATGGTAATCGACTGTTTTTCTCGAAAAAAAAAAACGAATTGATGTAATATAAGGATTTTTAAGTAATTCTTGTTGGTTCCCACACCCCCACTAAAAAATAATATATATTATTATATATCAATAGTCAAAGTCGCATTTTTCTAGTGTTTTATTGGTTGAGAGCATATCACGTGAGAGTGACGAAATTAGGCTGTCTCCCTCGCAACAGCGCGAGAGGGAGATAATACGTTATCGACCGGCGAATAACAAAAAAAATCACGTGCGCCATCACGTGAAGATGCGACCTTTGGACATGCCTGGTACGTAATTAAAACTTTCGCTTCAAGTAACTGCAGTGTAGCCAGTGTTTAATATAACGTTTTAACAATAAAATATTTCATGTATTTACGTTAATTTGTTCTTTAATTTGTTGTTTCTTTGACTATTGATATATAATAAAACACTTATTTACTTAGACCTCGGGAAAGCAGTGTGTTTTGTGGACCCTCGACCGTCGATGTTTCCCTCGGCTTCGCCTCGGGAAACATCGACGGTCTCGGGTCCACAAAACACACTGTTTCCCTTGGTCTCAGTAAATAAGTGATAATTATATAGCAGACTACTGATGAGCACATGCTCGTAACTGCTCATGTGCACATGCTCATCTGCTCATAACTGCTCATGAGCACGTGCTCATCTGCTCATTAGGCCCAATGGCCCGAAGTGCATTCTTCCTTCGTGGAAGCCCAGACACCACTGCAGAAAAAATTATTATTTTATGTACACAAATGTATAATTTTTCGTATTCGCATGTTTTCGCCATTTTTATTTCTATCCGGCCAACCCATGTAAAAAATGACAAGAAAAGACAGGTATAACTGAAAAGCAATTTATTTTAATGACTCGAAGTTACATACTGTGTTTATATTGGTCTTCCTTTACATATAATACTGTTCAAGTTCAAAAATACAGAAATTCCCGCACAGAACCCAAAATCTACGAATACGTTCACCTCAACGACGAGACAACATTCTCAAGTCAACACGCAAAGATCGAAGATGCAATAGCTGAACACTTGACAACATGTGGAAAACCACCAGTAAAGAAGATAAAACAATTTCCAGAACTACACAACAACTAGGACGTATTTTAAATAAATAAATAAAAAATGTAAAATTTTTTTAAAATTAAATATAACCTTTTTTTGCACGTTTTCTCGCCTCATGTAACTCCTCAGACATTTTTTTTCTTTTCTTCTCATTCTCGACTTCGCTCGCAGCCAATCTGTAATAGTTGTCCAAGCTAACACCGGTTTTCTTCTCGAATTTTTCCTTCCTTTTTGTCATATCCGCAAATATCTCACCCACAAGCATCTGCTTACAGTTCGACAAATAAGCAAAGGCAGGGCCCTGCACTCGTTTAGGAACAACAACACTCAGAATCATTTGTGATTGCATTTGACGCAACAATATATCATACAGGGCATCGTCCCCACGAATAAATTTCGGTATCAAACCCTTTTCAATCAAAATGTTTTCCAAATCTGTAATTTGCCTTTCCGCCTTTTCAATAGGTAAACCAACCCCATTCTCACACTATGTACTCAATTCAAACGATTTACCACTCATCCACGAAGAAACAACCTCTTCCCACTTTGCTTGCTCCATCTCGACTGAAAAGAGCGCGAAAATTTGAAATTTATCACCACCCCAAGCATGACATCATCGCGTCGCGAGGTTTTAGGTTTGGGTCCATGACAGTCCGACGCAAACGAAAACACACTGATGGTGCTCTAAGTATTTAAAGTTTAATGACCGCACTAATTTTACTATTTTTCTATT